AGGTGAATCTCAAAAAATCATAACATTGAGTGAAAGAAGCCAGATACAAAAGAGAACACAGTAAATGATTCCATTTATATCAAGTTGAAAACCAGGTAAAATGAATCAATACTGTTAGAAGACAGGATGGCAGTTACTTCTGGAAGGGGAAGACTAACTGAAAGGGAAAACAAGGGACACTTAGGAAGTATTGTTGGCCTTTCTTATCTACAGGTTCTACATCCACAGATTCGACTACCTGTGGCTCAAAAATAGTAAGGAAAAAAATCATAACCGTATTGAACATGTGCAGACCTTTTAAAATCACTATTTCCTAAATAATACAGTATAACAATTATCTACATAGCATTTTGTATTAGGTATTATAAGTAATCAAGGGATCCTTTAAAGTATACAGGAGGATGTTCATAGGTTATATGCAAATATTATACCATTTTATATAAGGGACTGGAGCATCTGTGGATCTTGGTGTCCGTGAGGGTCTTGGAACCAATCCCCACAGATACTGAGGGACAACTGTATTTGTGATGTTTTATTTCTTGTCACAAGATGATTCAGTTTGTGAAAATGCTTTGGACTGTATACTTAACATTGTGTGTATTTTTTCCTTACATATATTAGGCTGTGTATTTTTTTCTGTATATGTTACATGTCACTAAAATGGTTACTTTATAAAGCTGTGTATCAGATAACTCAGAATTCCTGGCAGTCCTGGTTGTATATGCCAAAGCACTATTCAGTACTGGCCCAAGTCATGCCACTGAACCACATTACCACTACCAAGCATAAAACTTCAGCAGGCACCATTGGCTGCTGCCACCTTGTTGCATGGGGACTTGATTCTGCTGCAGCTATTCCATTGCCCCTGGGGTGCCTTTTCCATTACTGGCTCCATTTTCAGCCTGTCTGTTTAAAAAATGAGATAGATACCTTTGTTAGGCAGAGCCTAATACAAATTTTCTTGCATGAAGGGAGGCTAGGAAAACAAGGATCAAATATTTTCAGCTTCTGTAGCAACCAGTAATAGAGGCCAGAAGTTATAATCAAGTTGGGGGCAGGTTGGTTCAGATTTTGGGCAGTCAAATAGAGGGGCATCTTTAAAAAATTTTTTAATTAGGATATATTCATTGTATGGGGAAGGGTTCGTAGTGACAATTCCAAATAACCCCCCTCCCCACCCCATTTAAAGCAGTTGCAAGAGATTTCTTTGTTCTCTTTCATATAAGTATATGAAGTCCATCGACCATATACCTTCACCTTAATCTCCTTCATTCACCCTCCCCTCTCCTACTAGTACCCCCCGACTATACCTATTTTATAGTCCTGTCTTTCATTATTAATATTTAAGTCATTGTTCAAAGTGGTTTCTTGATGTATCCCTGTTGTGAGTATACTTTACTTTGGTCTGTTCACCCCTTTCCATTACTCTCCCTGACCCATTTACCTCTCACCCTCCATTTTTCCACAGCTTTCGGTACATATCTTTATATCCTCTACCTTCACAGATGTTATGTTTTATGATATTGATGCTGTATCATTCTCTTTTCCTGTCCTAGAGGGGCATCTTTGAGGTGAACATTTTAGTCAGCAGAAGAAAGTAGATTTCAAGTGTTAGTAACAATAGAAGCCTAGAGGTAGAAGTTGACTAGAGTGTTGGGTCCAGTGCAAACAAGTTTAACTGGATTAAAGGGTGTGTTCTGGAAAAATGCTTTGAGAGAAGTTGAAGGAATAGGGTGGAGCAGGATTAAGTATTACTTTGAAAGTCAGGCAGAGGAATTTAAATTTAATACGGGAATTTTGGAGCAAGTAAACATATTTGAACAAGAGAATGTCTTGGGAGGAAGTAGTATTTATGAACTATGAATCTGGCAGTCCTTTTAGGGCCAGCACTGAGGCATGTGTTATAGTTTATTTATGTACTCATTTATTTTTGGCGGTACTGGGGTTTGAATTCAGGGCCTCATACTTGCTAGGCAGGAGCTCTACCACTTGACACACTCTGCCAGCCCTGTTTTGTGTTGAGTATTTTTGAGACAGGGTCTTATGAACTATTTGTCTAGGTTGACTTCGAATGATCTCTCAACTAGGTTTATAGGCATGAGCCACTGGCGCCTGGCCATCTATTGTAATTTAGAGGTGGAGTATAGATTAGGAGAAGAAATAAAAGTCAAGGATTAGATTTAAGAGAGAGCTTGAAGGAAAAAAAAGTCAATAGGATTTCATAAAGAGAATGAGGTAGAAGTTACTTCCAAGTTTCTGAGGCTGAGTGCTTGGCCTTGCCTTTCATTTAGAAGTTGTGGGCTTGAGGATGGAGCCCTTTTGGAGGGGGAAGTAATAGAATGAATCTTAGTTTTAGAGTTGTGGAGTTTGAGGTGAGAGGTATTTGAGAAAAAGTGATCCTTTTGCAATTAGAGATGGAAACTAGGCGTGGAAAGAAACACTGTCTCAGGCACCAAGGCTGTGGGGGAAATGTATAGGTATGCTGGAAACCTCAGGGCATTTCTCTTGTCATAATTATAGGCCATGGGCCACCGGGTAGATAAACTATCTTGTTTTTAATTTCAGGTGATGAATGTGAACCACAACCTGTACCTTCTGCTTCATAAACCTTCAGTTCTCCTACCTTGGGACACATTGATCCTATTACCATTTACACAGCTTTCTTCCTATTACTGTAATATTTTTGTGAAAAAAACAGTTAATGCATCAGAGGCTTTTTTTGTGTTATTTTTAAATAGTTTTTAGTGCTTTGAATACAAGGAGAAGAGTATCCTAAAGCTAAGGGCTTTATTTTTAAAGTGATACATTAAAACACAAAATTAAACATAATAATGGAGTATTGTATGATGCTTCAGTACATGTATACATGTGTAATGTTAAAAAATTATATTAAACATACTGATCTCAAAGGTTGATCATTACTTATGGTGAAAACTTTCAAAATTCTTTCTAGCTTTTTGAAATTTATATTGTATTGTTGTCTATAGTCACTCTCCTGTGCAATAGCACATCAGAGCTTCTTACTCCTGTTTGTGACCTAGTACTAAGAGGAGAGGAGGGGAAAGAAGGGGAGGGGAGGAGAGGAGAGGAGAATGGAAAGCAAATCTGCGATTTTTTAGTTCTGGGTACCATTTTAGGGTAGCCGTGGATCTGCGTGACAGCTCCATTCCAGACTGTACCTAGAAAAGAATGGTAATAAAACCTACTTAAGTCTCACAAGGACTTTTTGAGCCTTAGCCAATACTTAGTTATTGTCAGTAACCACAAGCTTTAGCATACCATTCGGGCTTGCTCGGGTCTCCAGAGCATGGTGGTAGGCTTCTGTGTACTGTTTGAAAGCTGTTGCTGAGGCACGCCTGCTTGGTATTCCTCTTAGAACTTTATTTTCTACAGTCTGTAGCATGCCCCTACCTGTCAATGACATTGAATTGCTCAGATATCATTAAAGGCTTGTGCAGCTATCTTAACAGGAAACAGCTTACCTTTTTTGGATAATGTGTGAAACAATGAAGGAAAATTTCAGGTGGTTGTCCATTGTTTATGCTTCAGGTGTATTTGCTGGCATGTTTCTCCCTTCTGCATTAGAATATTGAGGACTTGGGCTCTTCAGTTCCTGTGAAATTTAAGTGAAGAAGATTAGAGCCAGGTTAAATGAAAAGTCCCAAAGCTTTTCTGTTTCCGTAAGGTTTCTCTGCCTAGAGACAGCAAAATTGAGAATGGAAGAAGTAATTTTGAGTCCACATGAACAATTCATCAGCCTTTCTAGTTAGTTTGATTTTAAAGTGAAACAAAGTCTTGAACTTTGCATTTATAAAGATTAACCTTTTTCTTATGGATCTAACAGCCCTTTTCAATGTTGCTTCTTTGGTCACATGATACACATGCTTAGAAGAGCTATCCTTTGTTCACATCAGATAAAAAGCATTTGGGAAGAAAACGGTTTGTCCTAAATTACCAGTTTGCAACAGGATTTAAAGCAACAAGATCATAGAACATCAGCTTATCATTACCACTGTAGAGAAACTTTTCACCAATTGGTTTGAAAGAAGCAAGAGTTTTAACACCCTTGTCAATCTTCCCCTTACCTCATTTACTTCAAAAACCAGGCTAACCTTTGCCTCATTTACTTCAGTGGTAGAGCTCATGCCCTGGATTCAGTCTGTAACACTGCAAAAAAAAGGCAAATTATAATTGCCTAAAACAAAACTAGCAAGGCACCAGATAAGTGTGAAATTGATTATTAGGAAGCAGAAGGTAAACATTACTACTCTGCCATTACCCAGGTGTAGTAACCATTCTTTTGGTTTTTTGGTTATACTGGGGTTTGGGGTTTGAACTCAGGGTCTTTCGCTTTCTAGGTAGGTGCTCTGCTACTCTGCCAGCCATTTTTTGTGTTGGGTGTTTTTGAGATAGAGTCTCACAAACTATTTGCTTGGGCCAGCTTTGAACCATGGTCCTCCTGATCTTTGCCTCCTGAGTAGGTAGGATTGCAGGTGTGAGCCACCGGCATCCAGCTATAACCATTCTTTTGGGGAGGGAAAATGCTACTTTTGTCAATAGGATTTTGTTAAAAATTACAAAAAAACATAATAACAGTCGGGTATACTGTGTATGCCTGTAACTTCAACTTTTAGGGGACAGAGTTCAAGACCAATCTGGGCTACATAGTGAGACTCTGTTTTAAAAAACAAAAAAACAAAAACACTGTGAAGTGTAGCTCAAGTGGTGGAGTGTTTACCCAGTAAGTCAAAAACCCAGGGTTCAATTGCCAGTAATGCAAAATAAGTAAAAAAAAAAAAAAAAAAAGAAAGAAAAAAGAAAAGAAAATTACCAGGAAACCATATGTATTTTAAAAATAATTTACTTCATTTATATATAGTTAAAATACATTGCTTCATTTTAGAGCTTGTTGAACTTTAGTACTAGATAGAATTGTTTTATCTTTATATATATACATTTATAGTACAATTTTAAAATGTCTTTTAAAAAAATAAATCCAGGAGCTGTCCGGTCTTATGCATTGGAACTTAATTGGAAAGATTCAACAAATGCCACTTGCCTTTATGCAAAATGGCAGATGAATTTCACAATATACTATGAAACTACAAACAAAACTCATGTAAGTAAATTTATTTTATAGTAGCGGTTTTAATTCTGACTTTTTTATCCTTTATATCTACTTATACAAGTAAGATTTTTATATTAACTGACTTAACACTTGAATTCTGTGGGTTTTTAAACATTATACTGTGGTTCTTGTTCTGTTTCATGTTGGAATGAATATTTCTTCTAATTCATTGGTTCTTTGGAGTTTTTCGTGGAGATGGTTAAGGAAAAATGATCTGAAGATTGCATAGCATTCAGATCTAACCACTGTGTAATGTATTTAAAATGTACTAACATTAAAGCTTGCCCTTTTAAAAAAATAGCCTGCTATTAAAATCTCCCTTTTGGGTGGTCTCCTTAATCCTGTTGCCTGATTTTTCATTAAGGTCCTACCTAACACAGCCTAATTTTATACCATATTTTGTGGTGGTACTAGGGTTTGAACTCAGGGCCTTGTGCTTGCTAGGCAGGTGCTCTACCACTTGAGCCACTCTGCAAAAGCACACAGCCTAATTTAAAAAAAGATCAGCTAATGAGCTGGGGATGCAGTTCAGTGGTAGAAGTTCCTGGCATGTGTGAGGCCCTGAATTCTATCCCCAGCACTACAAAATAAACAAATAACCCAACCAGATAAAGAACAGCAGTTCAGGCCAGTTTTCCTTTTCTTAGTCATACATGAACTTGTCCAGACAACTAGTGTGTAGCTGAAGAATCTGAGACTGGTTTACAAAGCACACCAGTAAAAGGCCACCTGATATGGGGAACATGTGATTTAGACTCAAGTGCCATGCCCAGCTAGTCTCCCCAGGGTTGGTGTTCACTGCTGCCTATTTGTTTCTCACTTCCAAAGTTCTTTTTCTTTTAGAAAACGGTAACCATTTCAGACGTTGGCAAAAATGTGACATATAATGGAAGCAGCTGTGGAGATGACCAGAATGGTCCCAAAATAGCAGTACAGTTTGGTTCTGGTTTCTCCTGGATGGTGAATTTTACTAAGGAGGAGTCTAGTTATTTAATTGACAGCATCTCATTTTCCTACAACACTAATGATACCACAACATTTCCAGATGCTAAACATAAAGGTAATGTTAAAAACTGGATTTATGTTTTCTTCTCTTGCTTTTTATTAGTAATAAAAATGTATACAAAAATCATCATACGTCTGTCTTCCTAACTAGAATAGAAAATCAAATCTTCTTTGCATTTGCCCTGTCCCCTACGCTACGCGTATTGCAGCATCAGACATAGTAATGGCACTGTCTGTCATTGGTTGGATACTTTACTCTGTGTGTTACCTGCTGCATCTTAGTTAATCCTTAACAGCAACCCTGGGAAGTGGGTATTATCTCAGTTTTACAGCAAAAGGGAATAAGCTTTGATGAGATTAAGTGACTTTCCCAAAGATGACAAATTTAGTAAGTAAGTGAGCCATTAGTATTTGAACCAAAGTGTACAGAGCTGCAGAATTTATGCACTTAGCTGTTATTATTTATTTTGTCTATTAATAATGAGCAATCAACAAATGTTGAATAAATGAGAAAATTCTTTAATAATAACTATTCTAAATGTATACAAGTTCAGTAGGTTTATACCAAAAGAAATGCTTCCTCTTTAGGTATTTTTACCATTTAGATAGGATTTTAACTGAGAAATAAATAATGATTAAAGTTTAAATGATGAAAATCAACATTTGCTGCTATTTTGAGACAATTTCAGATCGAAACGAACTTGGGAAGGCATAGGCAATTAGGCCATTGTCATTCCCAGAACTGAAATATGAGAAAGGCCAAGCTAGCCTTGAACTCACAGTCCTCCTTCCTCAGCCTTCCTAATGCTGGAACTACATATGTGTGCCACCACACCCAGCTTGAGATTTAATTTTATTAAGGATGTAATTCTCTTCTTCCCTCTTCAGTGATACTGGATTAATACGGTATTTGTAGTAACTTAGCTTTTCTCACAGATGGTGTTTGATTCTGACACCAGAAACACAGGCAGATCAGCATTAGTTGCTTAGAACTGTGAATTAATAACTAATTTGGACTTATGGATAACAAAAGATCACATTTTAGAGACCTAGAAGTAAGAGCTTTATGTTAAACTTTTGAAATAGCACAGACTGAGACTTGAAAATCAAATCCTAGTTTTCATTTTGGCATTCTTTTAGTTTGAGAGGATAACTGAAGCAAGTAGTTATTGAATATCTTAGATATTTGTCTTTGTGCACTGCACTGTCTTTGAGAACTGTAAGATTTGCCCCCCCACCACCACTTTCAAGAAGCTTAGAAACTAGTTGAGGAGATAAAGCTATATTGTGTTCCCAAGTTATATGGAAAAATTGGAAAATATTGAACTCATTTTTTCTGTTGTTTATATATTTTGTTTGAGGGGGTATAGTGTCCATAAGTCTTTTTAGACAATGTGAAGAAAGCTGTACATCTGTCTCTCCATAAAGACAAAGTACACAGTAAAGTCTGCATGTGGTCCACATTCCCTGAGCTCATCTGTGGATCCCTGTGGCTAAGAGTGCCTGCTTTGAGAGTATTCTCACAGTGGTTCTAATTAGGAGCAGAGAGAAAGGAGAGTTCAGTGTTTGATTACAGGAGTGAGAAAGCTTGGTCAAGAAGCGAGACCTGACTGAAATTCAGCTAATAGTGGAATTTGAGTAAGCAGAGGGTTTTGAGCAGGATGTTTCCACCAGGGGGAAGCATAGTATGGGCAGCAGTAACTGGAGAGCTGCCCGTTTAAAACAGAGGCTGTGTGTGTAGCAGAGAGAAAAGAAAGTTGGCCAAGTGCAGTGGGTCTAAATTATAGGGGGCCTTGGAAGCCAAGGAAAGGCATTTAGCTTGATGAGGTAGGCACTGGGGAACCATTTTAAGGTTTTTGAGCCAGAGAATGATATAACAAAAGCAGAGAGAGTAGTTTATAAAGAATATTCTGCAGGATTAATTTGAAAGTGAATAGACTACAAGCAGAGATGCCAGCTTCAGAGTTTAGAGTAAATCAAGGGGTGATATAATACATGCCGACACCACGTGGATAGTAGTTAAAGGAGATCAGATTTTGTCTGACAAATTTGGGTAGAAAAGCTAAAATAACACCTCTCCCCACCCCTTTTATTGTAAACAAAGGGATGATTACATTTTCTATTGCTAGCTTCTATGTAATAAGATATTTGAAACTATTTGGTGCTTCCTTAAATGCACTATTGATAAATGTTTTTGAAATAGTTCAGTATTTAGAAATACTCATTTGTTTTTAGACATCTGATAATTGAAGTAACTTTGAAGCTGCTGTTTTCTTTTTAAACATGTTTTCACGAAGTGGAAGTAGGGCCCAAGCAGTAGAGGGCCTGCTTTGCAAATGTGAAGCCCTGAGTTCAAGCCCTAGTCCCACCAAAAAACAGACTTTCATGATTAAAATACAAAAAAGTGCAGAGAATACTAAAATAGACCCACAGGTACCCATTACTCAGAATTAATAAGTGCCATTTTTAATGTTTTCATTGTTTTATTTATTTAGGGAAATAAACTCTTATAGATACTTATGAGGCTTCCTTTGTCTTCACTCCCAACATTGTTTTTCTCCCTGCCTACCAAGAGGCAACCACCCCCTTGACTGAGATATAGCCTTCTTGTCCATGTGTTTATATTTCACTACATATGTGTATACATAGTTAAAAACACATAGTTTCATATGTATAACTCCAATATATCCACAGCTTTTTTTTGCTAATTTGTTTTTGAGGTCTATCTATATTCTGCCAATTCATATATCTATTCATTTTTTTAACACTGAGAAACAATTTTTGGAAAAATGTTCAAGTTAAAGAAAATGGTCTGACCATTAGAGGGTGCCAAGGCAGCATTAAGTGGCTGCCTTATTACATAATAGAGAGACACAGAAGGCAGCCTATAAAAAGGACCTTAAAATATCTTCATTTCTTGCCTGTTCTCCAAAAGAAACTAAGCCATTTAGATAAGGGTGATCATAGTCTTTTGAAGTTTCTCCATGGGAATTCCAATAAAAGCTGTACAGAATGGCTGTAATTTACTTGTTTTTATCTGTAGATTTCCTGAAATGGAATAATCTTTAAATTCCATCCAGGAAGAGGTTCTGTAAGCTCATTAGAATTGATGTAACTTACTTTTGGATAGTAGCACAAAATAAAGATTTATTATAAAATCTGTAATTTGTCCATTTCTCTTTCTTCCTTACTTATAGTCACTAAGTCCTACCATTTCTACCATAGATAGGTATTTTCAATTTGACCTCCTTGCTTTCTTCCTCCTACCCTTCACCACCTTAGTGTAGGCAACCTCTCACTTTTCACCCTAGTCAGATCATTGGCTCTTTAAAGTTTTATCCTCTACCTGTTGCCTACAAAATGCTATCTTCCTTAAAGTAAATTGTGTGTCTTATTTCCTCTTTGAAAAACTAAAGCCAGCCCTCTATTGGTAACAAATAAAGCACATACAATCCTCAGCTTTAAAGTGAGAGTACCTGCAATTTGTTTTTCCTTCTTAACTCCCATTACTTCTTCCTCTCTATTCCCTATGTTTCAGCCACAGTGAATTTGTTGTTCTCTTTAGCATGCCATACCCTCCATCACTTTGGGCATGAAGTGGAACAGACAGAGAAGAGAAGAAAGTCTATGCAAACATATTCAAATTGTTACTTTTTTCCTGCCTTCTTGGAAAACAACTATTGTTCATCTTGTTTTATAGGAATTGTTCCTGTTAATAAATCTGCAGCAATCAAAATTCCATTGAATAACATCTTTAGATGCAATAGTTTATTAACTATAGAAAGTGATAATGTAATCCAGCATTATTGGGATGTTCATGTACAAGCTTTTGTCCAAAATGGTACAGTGAGCAAAAAAGGTGAGTATTTAAAGTATGTATTTTTATACTTGTGTCCTAATTTAAGGGTAGAGTATGTGTTCATTGAGGTCATTATCTGAAAGCATTTATTAAGACTTATTTGTAGTTTCCATTAGTTTTTGTATATAATAGCAATTCTTATTGCTAACTGCAAATGGAACTTGCTGTTTAAAGTTTATGATATACACGGAGAATGGTCTTTTACCTATGATGTTTTCAGCTGGTAAAACATAATCTATGTTTGAACAGATCCTCAAATAGCTTGGTTGTCTGCTCTGAGCCGCAACAAGATCAAAGCTTAGTAATTAGATTTCTGTGTTCTAATCTTAATTTTTATAAGTTAATTTTAAAACTTTATTTTATGTTATTTTGGGGCAGTACTGGGGTTTGAACTTAGGGTCTCACACTTGCTAGGCAAGTGCTATACCACTTGAGCACTCTACCATCTCTTTTTTTCGAGATAAAATCTTGAGAACTATTTGCCCATGCTGGCTTCGAACCATGATCCTCCTGATCTTTGCCTATTGATAGGGTTACAAGTGTGCGCCACCGGTGCCTGGCTAATGATTTTAAAACTTTTATGTGCAGAAAACTGCTAAGAGGTTGAAATGCCTATGATTTGTTGTAGGGGTAAGTAAATAAAATGTTCCTTCATATTTAAATCCTTTCATGATTTCTACACTTTTTCTAATAAGCAGTATCCTTTGGAAATGTGTTGTCTGTTGTGTCATAACTCGTTGAGATTGTATATGAAGCAGTAGTTTGAGAACTTCTGCCTCATTTAGTTTAAAATACACTAAGAAGGTATTCCTTTCTCGTACTTAACTCTGTTAGACTTCTATGAAAATTTTTTGCTCTTCCCTTGCCTAATGAATTGAGTAAAAGGCCACTTTGTTTTGTCCTTTGTTTTAGAATATTTGTGTGATAAAGACAAAACTTCTACAACAGTAGCACCCATCATTCATACCACTGTGCCATCTCCTACTACAACACCCACTTCAAAGCAAAAACCAAAGGTTGGAACTTACTCAGTTACTAATGGCAATGGTACTTGTCTACTGGCTACCATGGGACTGCAGCTGAATATCACTCAGGAGAAGGTATGGTTGTCTAGTTGTTTTTTTTTTTTTACCAATGTATCCTTTTGTATTTCTTTCCAAATACTATGGATCCTACTGTCCACTCAAGAGTGGTGTTACTAGAACGATTCAGTTTTAAATGGAGATTTGATATTGACTTGTTGAATTTTGATTAGTCTGGAGTTACTGTAACCACCAAGAGTTAATGTCACCTGCAAGGCGTTACTTGGCCAGCAGAAAATCTAGCAATTTAAAGGTCTTTTGGGGGTTTAGATTCTACAAGTCTTCAGGAACTCAGAATATGCATAGTTGAGCTTTACTTCAGTCAGTTTAAAATATAACTCCTGGGCTAGAGGTATAGCTCAGTGGTAGAGCACTTGGCTAGCATGCACGAGCCCCTAAGTTCAATCTCCAGCACTGCCAAAAAAAATAAGAAATGACTCCTTCACACTTTTATCTGAAGCACACTGTAAGTTTGTGCGCGGGAACAGTGCAGCTATTTTGTTTCTCCAGCTAGTTGATGACTCAGATCGCAGAGACATGCTCAAGTATGTGGTGGCTCTTCCAGTTGCAGTATTTCACTGGGACTCCAGAGGGAGTGCCAATAAATAAATACCATTTCCAGGATTCTGTGATTGAAACAAGCTAGACAGATGGCTCTTGTGCTCTGTAAAAATATGTGTTTTCATTTGGCTCATTACTGAGGAAGCTTCCTTCTTGTTGTTGTTGTTGTTGTTTAAGTCGTCTGAGTCATAGCTTGGGGGCCTGTGCCAAGTTTGTTTGAAAGTAAGACACCATGAATTCAAGTATCCAAACAAAGAAGATTTTGTTCTACATTGAAGTTGGTGTTATTAGAGTATAAGGCTTTGCTGTCAACCTTTATAATTTATCTCTCCCTCCCTTCCTTTCCCCCTGAAGGTTGCTTCGGTTATTAACATCAACCCCAATACAACTGACTTCACTGGTAGCTGCCATCCTCAGACTGCTCAACTTAGGTTGAACAGTAGCATCATTAAGTATCTTGAGTTTATCTTTGCCATGGTGAGTAACAGATTTTCTAAAGTTCGGTTTATTCTCTGAGAAACATATCTGGAAGCCTAACTAGTGGTGTGTGGATATATGGGGAGATATTTAGATTTGTTTTTTATTTCAACACTACTTAATTGTAAATAAAGTATAGTTCACTGATCCCTGTTCATCCGTCAGAGACTTTTTGGTGGTCTCTGGACTGGACTTTTGTTTTAATGACCACCAAGGGTGGGCCATTCTGCCATTATACAGACTGTAGGGTAGGAACAAGAATGAATGCATATTAAAAAAAAACTACCTGTCTAATCTCTGCATATATAGGTAAATCCATGATAATATTTTTCTCTGCTATTGGTTAGACAACTCTCATGTTTGTCTATTATAATATTTTAAACCTTTTGGAGGTAATATTGTTTGTGTCAGTAATAATAATAGCTAATATCTATTGAGTATAGTCGGTTCTCTGTTTCTATAGGTCCTGCATCCACAAATTCAACCAATCTTGGATCAAGGATATTAATAAGCAAAACAATATTGTGGGTGTAGCTTAGTGGTAGACCGCTTCCCTAGCATGTGTGAGGCCCTGTGTTTGATCCTAGCACCACAAAAAGTTGCATCTGTACTGAACATGTATAGAGTTTTGGTCTTGTCATGAATCCCTAAACAATATAGCACAACAACTACTTATGTAACATTTACATTGCATTATGTATTATAAGTAGCACAGAGATAATTTAAAGTATATAGGAGAATGTATATAGGTTATATGCAAATACTATACCATTTTATAAAAGCGACTTGAGCAATCTCAGATTTTGGTGTCTGAAGTGGGTCCTAAAACCAATCCTCTGAGAATCGAAGGATGACCTCTTATAAACAAGGCTCTGTGTAAGTATATATACTAATTCATCAAATCAGGATTATTTATAATGCCAGCATTCAAGTATTTGTTGTTCATGTTTATATCAAAAGCTGAACCCTAAACAGAAGATTTCAGGTTAGGCATACCTGTTCTACTTCTTGCTGGCATAAAGTAATCATTGGAAGCCTTTATTTCCACCTTTTCAGAAGCAATTATTAGTTTCATAGTTTTTCATGAGTGGATGTATAAATGTATATGTTGTAGCAAATGGGAATGAGGAATCGGGGATAGCTTTAGGTGAGGGAAAATGTTGACCACCAACAACTGTCAAACTAAGAGCTATTATATAATTGGATAAAAACAAGTTCTGCTTTTAAATCAGATTACTGTATTTAGGGATGAGGGGACAGTCTCAATATCTGTAATATAAAAAGTAGGTATGGCCAGATGAGGTGGTACACACCTGTAATGAGGCAGGAGGATCATGAGTTTGAGGTTAGCCTGGGCTATGTAGTGAGGCTCTGTCTCAAAAATACTAAGTGAAAAGAGGAGATACAGGATGGAGGTATGGTTCAAGTGGTAGAGCACCTGCTTAGCAAATGCAAGGCTCTGAGTTCAAAACTCTGTTTCTGCAAAAAAGAAAAGGATATATGTTGTTATTTTGTATCTGAACTTGGTGTCTTGAATCTAAAGCCTGTTTTCTCTAAAGAACATATACTCAGTAATTGATTATATTAGGCAATTATATTTTTTTAAAAGTTTATAAAATTATTCCTTTTCCCAGCATTCAAATAATCCTGTTATATAGTATATACGTGACCATTGAATTACTATTCAGTGTTCATTTAGGGCCAGGCATGGTGGTACACACCTGTAATCCCAGCACTTGGGAGGCCAAAGCAGGAGAATCTTCAATTCAAGGCCAGTCTGAGCTACATAGTGTGAGACGTTGTCTCAAAGAAATGTCCAATTAAGTAGGGGGTATATATCAGTTGTAGAGAGCTTGCCTAGCATGCAGGAAGCTCTGGGTTCCATCCCTAGCACTATAAAAAATGTAAAAATATCTAATTAAATTTATCCTTTTCTGGCTGGAGTTGAAGTTCAGTGGTACAATGCTTTCCTCACTGTGTGAAAGGCTCTGGGTTCAATCTCTAGCACTGCTCTGTGCAAATGAAAAACAGCAGCAGCAACAACAAAAATCCCAAACCAAAATCTTGTCCTCTTCAATATGATAAGAGCAGGCCTCCCTAGATATACACATCACTCTCATATTCATATATTCCCCCCTCCCTCTTTCTGTGCTGTGGATTGAACTCAGGGCCTCACAAATGCAAGGCAAGTATCCTACCACTGAGCTACATTTCTCAGGCCGACATGTTGTCTTCTAAAGTTATCTCAAAGAATGCAGGCATGCTGTCTCTCTGCATGCCGGCTGACATGAAGTGAGCTGCCATGATAGACTGAAACCATGAGCAAAATAAATCCCTTCTCCCTTAAAAAAATGAAGTTATTGGCTGAGCACTGTAATCCTAGCTACTTGGGAGGCTAAGATTGGGAAGATTATGGTTCAAGACCAACCTAGGTAAATAGTTCGAGAGACCACCATCTCTAAAATAACCAGAGCAAAATGGATTGGAGGTGTGGCCTAAGTGGTATAGCACCTGCTTTACAAATGTAAAGCCCTAAGTTCAAACCCCAGTCCCACCAAAAATAAATAAATAAATAGTTATCCCATAGGAATTATGGTCTATAAAAATAAGGAAAGTAGTATTTTAGCTTCATTTCTTTTTGGGTGATTGGGTCTGATCTTTCTAGGTGTTATAGGTTCCTCCTAAAAGGATCATGGGGTATGTTTAATATTAATAATTCCAATATATATTTTGCCTAGCAGACTATTTTAAAATGTAATCCAGAATAATGACATTTTCAACATACTTCAGGCACTTTGAAAATTTAAGAAATACTTGTAGTGTCAGTAGAATTCAGGAGGCTCACAACAGCTTCAACCCTGTCATGATAGATGTTTCTTGGGAGAATTTATAAAATTGAGTATGTCAACAAAGAAAGAAAAAAAAAAAACCGAGGGTGTCATGTGTAGGTTGTGATGGTGGAGTCCAAAGAAGAAAATCTGCATTTTTTTCCCCAAAAGAATGATACAACTTTTATTTTCTTTGGATTTTTAAAGATATTTTTGCTTCATAATTTATGTATTCTTATCAGATTACATTTTTCATTTGTATGAAGTTCAGCCTTCTGTAATTTTAAGGCGATATGTTTGGTAGTGTATCTTCAACCTTTAAAAAGTTCAGAGTTTTTGAAACGTGCAGTATATGAGGTAAAATCAAAATTACATTAAAATTGTTTTCTGCACTGTACTAATTTTTCAGTGAAGCTCAAGTGGCAAGCACACTATTAAATGACATTTGCTACCAAAAATAGGAGTTCATTTGAATTACTATGAAAAACGTAAATACCTGTAACTTGGCACAGTAGCACATTTTACCATTTTAGACATTCAACTATATAAACATTTCTGGGCTTTTATACTCAAACTCATTTGCCAAATGAAGTACTTTTAAGAAGTTTCTAGAAAAAAATGGCTATTTGTTGTTTTGGGAAAGTTACCACCCTATACTTTAGAGATTAAATTTAAGTAAAGTGTAAACATACAGTATATTATAGTGACAGATCGTTCTCACCACTTGGAAAGACCAAGTTTATCTTACCGTTTTTTCTACAGCACAAATCTTTTGACATAAAACAGTTACAATTCATGCCCACTCTATTATAAAGGAAAATTTTCAGAGATCATTAAAGCACAAAACTTACATTCCTTTTTGCAAAGACTGACAGAAGTGCTTAGTAATCACTAACATGCTGACTTCAGCAACTAAAAATTAGTTATTTATGATCCTGAAATTCAAATAACAAATTTAAAAAGCTATTTGCAGGTGTTTTACAGATAACAAATGTGCTAAAACATGAATTTTAGATAATTTCATTATAAACTGTATTATTATGAACAATCATAGACATTCAGGCAAGCTGTATAATGTGATACTTGACAAAATTCAATCTGATCATCCCATAACTCCAAAATGCAAGATTACAAAACATTAAGAAATAAAAAAACTGGCATTTTTAAGGAACCCATAGTTTCATGGTAAAAATAGAAGTACACAAATAATTACCATTTTTATAGAAGGCCTGAGTGCCACATTCAGGCTTTTGAATTTGATTCTGTGGGCAGCAGAGTATCAAGGAGTGTACATATAAAGTAGGATGAGTGACAGACCAGATGTTAATATATACAAAGAGCAGTGGGAGAATAAAGGAGGGAGAGGTTAATTCTGGTTGTAGGAGACTCAGGAAGGTTTAATGAAAGAGGCAGCATTTGAGCTGGGCTTTCAAGGACAGGTCAGATTTGTACATATGGAGATAAGTGGAATAAGTGGGTAAGTATGAGTCATCCCTGGATACAGGAACAAAATCAAGACCACCTAGCAGAATGATGGCATGTGGCATGTTTAGTGAAAGTATGGTAATATAGTTGGGAAAAATGTTTGTTTGAGAGCATTTTGAATGCCAAGGTGAGACATTGTCTAAGCAGGGGAAGAACGTGATGAGGTTATCAAGTCCTCCTTTATGCTTGCTCCAGAAATTTTCTCTCCAGTCTTTTCTCTCATTTTCATTCTCCTCTGCCTTTGGTCTGGTTCCAGCTGGATTACCTCTTGCCTAGACTGTTTAAATAGCCTCCTACCTAATCCCACCTCTTCTTCATCCTCCTGGGTTTAATCTTCCCAGGGAGCACAGCTCTTCCTCACAAATCTTCAGTGCTTCTGTTTTGCTATCAATCTACACTCCATGGCTGGGTAGTTTCAGCTCCTTTCTCCCCCATGCAGCAGTGCAGCCTGCATTCACAACCTTTATTTCCTTTGTTTCTCTTGGTGAATCTTATGCTTTCTTCATCTTGACTTCTGTGTGCATCTAGTGAAGTTGGAGACCACAGCAATAACTTGTTGAAAGTCTCTGCAGCCAGATTTACCAAGTGTAAACCCCAGCTCATTGACAACTACTGTATACTCATGGGGGACATCACTTTGCATCTCTGTGTTTCAATTACTACATCTCAAAATAAAACAGCACAGGGGCTGGTGGAGTGGCTCAAGTGATAAGAGTGCCTACCTAGCAAGCAGGAAGCCCTGAATTCAAACCCCAGAACCACCAAAATAAATAAATAAATAAATAAAATAGCATCAGTACCGAAGGAGTGTTGTAATTATTTAGTACAGGTTCATATGTAAAGTTGGAAGAACAGTGGCTGGCACTTAGTAAGTTCTGAAATGTTTCCTTGAGATTATGCTTATTTTCTGACTGCTTTTATTAATGCTGTTGCCTTCTGTAATATACCTTTCTGCTAGCTTCCTAACTGAATCTTATCCAATTCAAATGACCCATTCCAAAGCTAGCATATTACTTCCCTCATTGGAAGTAATTTCTTTCCTGTCCATTGTCATGAAGTACCACTTTCTTTTTTTGTACTGTGAATATTTATTTATTTATTTATTTTATCTTCTCGGGTAAACTGCAAACACAGTGAGAGCAAGATTCAAGTCTGGTTCATTTTTCTAGTTCCCTGAAGCACTTAGACATGTTCTTTGTACATACTAAGCACTCAGACAATTAGAATGATTGGCTTGTCAATCAAGTGCTTCAGAAAGATAATAACAGGGAAGCGAAGGATAGCTAGAGGCGGGTTGGATAACAGGTACCAAAGCACAGTGTGACAGAAGGATTAAGTGCTGGTGTTCCACAGCATAGTGGGATAAATAGAGTTCACAATAACCTATATTTTGTGAAGATCTAGAAGAGGGGAACTTGAAGCTTTAAGCATAAAGAAATGGTAGGAAGAGATGCCAATTGCCCTTATTTGATCAGTGCATGCTGTATATATGTGTTGGAATATCACACTGAGTCCCATTAATATGTATAATTAATACATGCTAATAAAAAATGGTGCTGGGGTATGGCTCATGTGGTAGAGTACTGGCCTAGCATGTACAAATGCCTGAGTTTCACCACTGCACCTCAAAATAAAATAATAAAATAAAATAGAATGGTATCAGCAACATGAAATAAATAAAATAAATAAGTAAATAAATAAAAGAGATCATAAATAAAAGAACAAATAAAAGAGATAATAGCAATGAGAAGGAAAGAGTAGAACTAGAGGTGATGAAAGACAGGGAGCCCAGTTAAGAAGATATTGTGATGCATGCTAGAGGGCGTGTGGACTAAGCAAGGGACAGTAGGAATAAAATAGAGGAGATAAATCATTAGGTGTCCAGGAGCCACATTACTACTTCCACAATTTGACAGTTGGAAATGTAGAGGAAAATATCACTTAAAATGTGATCAAGCTTAATTACAGTTTATTCAGCTGGCCCAGGTCTAATCCATATTTTCCTCTTCTGTGAAATAGTACTACATTGCTTTTCTTCTATAAATGTTACCTGTATCTTTTGAGAGTTGTGGTATGTTTTTAACTGGAAGCTCTTTTTCAAACAGAAAAATGAAAACCGATTCTATCTGAAGGAAGTGAATGCCAGTATGTTTTTGGCTAATGGCTCTGGTAAGCAAAGCATTGGCCTGGGTGGAGAAAACTTGGGTTATACCAAGGGAGTAGAAACTATAAATTATCTTATAAGTACCTTATTTAGTGGGACAGAAGATGCTACGTAAAAAGTGTACTGTGATCACAACGTAAATCTGTAACTTAGAACTGTGTGAAAAAAAAAACTGTGTGTATCTCTTACAGTATCTCATCTTTTCAAAGTATGGTGGATAATAGTTAAGACGTAACTGATTTTTAGACTAGAAATAGTTATAGAAAGAAAAGAGAAAACTGGATGTGTTGGTGTATACCTGTAATCCCAGTGCTTGGAAGGCTACTGAGTTCAAGGCCAGCCTGGGCTATATAGTGATTTCTAGGTAAGCCTGGGATACATAACAAGACTCTGTCTCAAAAAAAAAAGTGTAAGGGATTCTAGTGGTGTTAAGAATTGATTTTTGTGGGTAGACCTTATCCTCCTAGCTCTCATACTTCACTCAAAACCCTGAGGAATGTCCCATTTTTGATGTTGATAGGATAAGAACTTACTAACCTATTTTGTTTTTCTGTAAAGTTTTCAGCATTGCAAATAACAATCTTAGCTACTGGGATGCCCCCCTGGGAAGTTCTTATATGTGCAACAAAGAGCAGACTGTGTCAGTGTCCGGAACATTTCAGATAAACACCTTTGATCTAAGGGTTCAGCCTTTCAATGTGAAGGAAGGAAAGTATTCTACAGGTAAGAATCAAGCAAACTTTGTTAACAATTTATGTTCTGTCGTCCGATAGGTGTCTTTTCCTTTGAACCATGGAAATTTGCACATTGAAATAGAGAAATATGAATTCGCTTGATTCTGATGTAGTGTTCTCATAGCCTCTAGTGAATTGTGTAACTATACTTGGCTCATCATTTTCCTCAGACTAGGTGTTTTTTCTTTAATTTGAAAATCATTTGCATCATTGAGGAAGTTTGTTTAAGGTATAGCTACCCCACCCTGGGTTTAGAGTTTGGGTGGGATGGCACTTGGAGTAGCAACTTTGAGTATTTTGTATCTGCCTTCTTAGAGGCCATCTTCTCTATGTACTGATTTTGTTAAGGCATGATAAAGAATGGTAGCAAAGCCTCAAATTTCATGACCTGTGGTTTTGCAAGCCAAATGATCTGGAGAGTCCTCAAGCATGTGTCAGTGCGAATGAGGCTTTTTGAAGATGTATTCTGATGTTATTTATCAGATTTTTAATGAAAGCTTCGTGCAGGGCTCATTATAATGTTTATGTATGAATACGAAAGATATACTTGGCATTATAAGATTAAAATTTGCATAAAAAAGTACATAAAATTCCTTAAGTGACCTGTCCTTTTAAGTCAATTACTTAAAATTGGGGGTTTGTGGATCACAGCTTTGCTGAGCAGAGCTACTCTAGTTGTCCACATCCTTTTAAACAATTAATTCTACAGTTAGAAGGAAAGGTAGAAGTTATATATGCTGTGAGCCATTTAACTGCTTCTGCAGTGATGCCTCATACCTAGTCTGCCTTGATTAGGCCAAAGTAAACTCTTCACCTTACCATTCTTTTCACTAGAGGTTAATCACAAGTTTAAAAGTAAAAACCTTTTGTTGGTTTTGCTTATGTATTTCAATTACTTTGATCCTTTAATAGATTTATTTTGGATCCTCTGTCTAGCTTCCCTACGTCATTACTCTAATTTTAGGTCCAGATTTGTGTTTAGAATTTAAAATAATTTGTAGTGTTATTACTAGTTGTCAGCTGTAGTAAAGATATATAGCATTAAATATTAGTATTGACTGTATAATCTATTTATGGAACTAGGTTCTTGGCTATGGGTCCCTATAAATATAACACACAAGTAATACTTGAGTGTATTTGGGGAGAAAATAGAATTGCAATAAGGTAGAAGAGGGTTGATTTGATTTGACCGGATGACACCACGCTCTAGAAATAGAGGAAATTATCCCCATGGGCCACCAGCTTGTACTACATTGGTTAAGAAATATAAACACACTCAAATTAGTAAGAGGTCCAAGTTTCTTGACTCTTACAGCCACTAAATTCACATATTCTAAGTCAGGGATCTGCAAACTTTTCCTGAAAAGGTCCAAACAGCGTTGTTTTAAACTTTGGGGTCATATGGTTTCTATCACAGTTATTCAGTTCTGCCATTGTAGCATGAATACAGCCATAGGCAGTACATAAACAGATGAGTGTGGCTGTGTTCCAATAAAATTTTGTATATTGATACTGAAATTTGAATTTCATTAACTCGTGTCATCTATATATAGTATATATAGATATATATATATATCTTTATATATAAAGATAGTATATATACTATCTTTATGCCTGATCATTTAAATTTATGATTGCCATTTTTAACTCTTAGACCAGATTTGGCCCATAGGCTAGCGTTTGCTGACCTGTACTCTAAAGGAACTCCAGAGTCAGCCTGACTTTTCCAATCTCATGATATTGTGATGTGCCTATGGATATTCACTGTACCACTGAGAGGCTCATCTCTTCAGCTCTATAGAAATAGGGCTAGATTAGTTCTCTTCATTCTGATTTTTGACAGGACTTGGAATAAAAACAAACATAAGCATAAACGCATGTATGTATGTGTATATACCACTTAATACAGTGTGTGTTTGTGGATATATATGACTATATATGTATTGATAAATATGAATATCTCTGAATGTACACACAAACATAAATGAAAGGACAAATACATTTTAGGATTTTAATTTTAGAACAGCTTTATCATAAAAATATACCTGCCTTAAAATTGATTTTATAAGAGCATTTCTAACTTTTGAATCAGCATCTTTTATTTTTAGACATTCTTTTTTGATTATACTCATTATTTGTTACACACTTTTTCTCACTTACAGCCCAGGAGTGTTCGCTGGATGATGACACCATTCTAATACCAATTATAGTTGGTGCTGGTCTTTCAGGCTTGATTATCGTTATAGTGATTGCTTACCTAATTGGCAGAAGAAAAAGTTATGCTGGATATCAGACTCTGTAACACTAATCCAATACTTGATCTGTTATAAAATAATAAGCAAGTACAAGTTCAAATAAGCAATACTGTTCAGTTTAAGGTACATGTAGTTGTAGTCCTGCTTTTAGAATGGGTGGTATGAGAAATTTCAAACTTAATTTAAAAAAATCCAAAAAGCAATATATTACAAATTAGGCATGTGATTTTGGCTCCCCTAACCAAGAAATTTAAAACTGTTATTTCTTCAACAAAAGACATGTGCAAAATTACCTGGATTATAGATTCTGTTTTACTGTTTTGAGTTAGTATTTCTGTGTTTTCACTTGTACATTCTGACTAATAAACAATTTAGGAAAAACAGATTTTAAAAAGACTTTTCCTGCATGAGGTTGAGTTGCGACAATATATCCTACAGTGGATTTGTACTTGCTTTTTTTGCAATTCTGTTTGCAGGTTAACTTAGCTACTTTGGCATTGCTGCATATTTGACCTATGAAAGGGATGCTAGTAGATTGAACAGGGCTGAGTAGTGGCATGTTCTTACCAATAAATTCTTTTCTCATGCTTTTTTGAATATATTTGTTTTTAATGTGGCTGTAATGTCAAAAGATACAAAAGATTTTTAAAGGTTAGCAGAGATGTTAATCTTACTGTTTAATCTTTTTTTTAAATGGACATTTCAGTCTTTTAAATTACAAGACACAAGACTATTCCAACTGGGCATTTCAATGTGTTTTTTAGGTGCTTTAGAGATAATTGCTAGGCAATGCCAATTGAGGGCATTAGTCCTTTGTGCCCGTAAATTGGCCTCTACATGTAGTACTAAAATTAATGCAGATTTCTCTTTAACTTTCCAGTCTTCTTTGTTGGTGGTAATATGTTTCTTTCACTTCTTTTTCTTAAAGAAGAAATGCCAGTATGTCCTAGAACCTAGATAAAGAAGTGCACTTACATTTAGAAAATAACTTGCACCTAATCTAAAAGGTCTTGGTCTTCCCTTACTCCATTAAAATGTTATTCATTTCCAGTTTGCATTGATTGCTACAGCATTTACTAATTTGGCTTTCACATTTAAATGGTTTTGTGCTAATCAAAACTTACATTGTTATTGTTCATTATGGTAGAGTCATTATTAATTCATGTACTTCGTATTCAGTTTTGTGCTCAGAGAGATGTACCAATTATCCATTTACTGTGCATGCCGTAGTGCTTATATGAGAAAGCAAAATATTTCAGTTTGATAGTTAACACATCAAGTATTCCTTACATCATCTACAATGTCTTTATATTATAATATATATATATATATATATATATATATATATATATATATATATATATATATATATATATATATGGGTGCACATACACACACACATATATATAGGTATGGTTGAGCAAATATTTTAAAAAATATTAATATGCAGCCATGTATGGGCAGGTTCTTGTGGTTATTTGGGGAGAACAGAATATATGCCTCCCATTTATCCAAAAATGAGGAACTATGTTGGTTCCAAAATGTTGATGGGCTGGTGGTGTGGTGCAAACAGTAAGAGCACCTGCCTAGTAAGTGTGAGGCCCTGAGTTCAAACCCCAGTACTGCCCCCTCCCCAAAATGCTGATGTTGAATGCATCAATACACACATGCACACATACATAGGCAACTGCATGCTAGCATGTGTGTGTGTGCAACTGTCTTTTGAATTAGATTGGCGTGACAAATATTTTCTCTCACTTTTAAATTTGCTGTCTGTTTGACCTGAAAACTTTACTGGCCCAGAATCATATTCCTGACTAACCCCTCTCCTAGAACTACATTGAGCTGCATTGCCAGCTTAAAACACTTCTTGGAAGCCAAATATAAATCTTATTTTTAAAAGTTATTTTTAATTAAGATGTGTTTTAGTACAAAGTACTAATCTTATAAGAATGGATTATGTTTTTAATAACATAGGCCTTAAATATTTCTCATGAATCAAAACAAAGCAGCTTTTTTTTAAAGAAAAATTGGAACCACAAATGGGTGGCACTGGCTTAATGCTGTTAGTTTGTTCTCCCTCATATGTGGACATTAGATCAAGGGCAAACACAACAAGGGGATTGGACTATGAGCACATGATAAAAGCGAGAGCACACAAGGGAGGGGTGAGGATAGGTAAGACACCTAAAAAACTAGCTAGCATTTGTTGCCCTTAACACAGAGAAACTAAAGCAGATACCTTAAAGCAACTGAGGCCAATAGGAAAAGGGGACCAGGAACTAGAGAAAAGGTTAGATCAAAAAGAATTAACCTAGAAGGTAACACCCACACACAGGAAATCAATGTGAGTCAATGCCCTGTATAGCTATCCTTATCTCAACCAGCAAAACCCCTTGTTCCTTCCTATTATTGCTTATACTCTCTCTACAACAAAATTAGAGATAAGGGCAAAATAGTTTCTGCTGGGTATTGAGGGGGGGAGCGGGAGGGGTGGAGTGGGTGGTAAGGGAGGGGTGGGGCAGGGGAGAAATGAACCAAGCCTTGTATGCACATATGAATAAAAAGAAAAATGAAAAAAAAAAAAAAAAAAAAAAAAATAAAAGTTTCTATATTTAGATTATATATCTGAATCATATTAAAATACCTCTAATAAGCACTGTTTTATAGAAAATCTGACTTCGTGAATATTTTTGTGTTTTACATGGGCCAGTTTGTATACTGCTATTTATAC